GCTCACCTGATGATGGAGTAGGGCTCCGAAACCGGTAGTGAGAGCAGGTTGATCCACATTATGATAAACACAGCGTAGAATTAAATTTCTATATAAGCAGTTAAGTGGCAAGAATCCTTATATAATTTTATTATTAAATATAACTTTATAATAGCTGTCTTAATAATATATGTAAACATCAGACATAATAATAAGTAAATTAAAAAATAAGTAAAGTTCATTTATTTCTTTTAGTTGCCTTTCTCACCTGGTATCTGCCAAGGTTTCACAGGGCGAACCCCACAAACACGCCAGTATTCAAAGCACATGAGAGCACTACTGAGAGCCTAAGGTTTCATCCTTGTAAAAATAAGGGGATCTTACTCTACGTGTGATCCCTAATTCGTTTTGATTAGTTTATATTAATTACTTATGCTATTCTTATTTTATTTGATTTTGCCAATTCTTGCTTTTGAGTTGCACTGCACGCCACTGCCGTTTCCCTCTCACCCCGTTATTGAGCGCCAAACGTACGCCTTCATTAGAGGTGAAATTTCCATGCGGCACGTTTCGACAGAAGGTTGTACTCGTGAAATTACAGTTTCACATTTTATCGACCTGCGTGCGATGGTGCGTCGGCGCGACGCCGCGCTCCCCCTCGGGGTAAAATGGCTACCGGTGTAGGCTCCCCCCCGTTTTGACGGCGCCCCCCTTTCCCCCCGATGTCCGTTAGAGCGCGTAACGTTATTGTAGAATTTATTATAGTCGCTCGCTTACGGTATTGTATATTATGTATATACCTAGACGTAAATATAGACTGTAGTACGTACGGCTTTGGGAAAGTGGATTATATCATTTTCCGGCTTAGTTGCTCGGAATGTCTCCAGTTTTCCGTAGATTGTTTGCTCTATGTGCTTCGGTAGCGGACTATTTATTTGAAGAAAATATAAAGATATAATAATCCCATCAAAAACGTAGAATGTAAAAAAATGCCAAGTCTCGCAACCACTATAAAAAATATGCGAGATCTCATGTAAAACCAAGTCAATTTATTTTATTTAGTCTTTCTTTAAGCACCTATTCAACAATTTTGTTATAAATTGTTAGTATCAATATTAGTCATCTTTATTTCTGTAATAATTATAGTGACTTGGCAATTGAACAGCAGCATAATTATAAAAGAATAATTTACTATCTCGATTACTAAGTAAATATAAGATAAATTTAATTAGAATAAAATATCATATCGCGCAATTGCCAAGTCGTTATAATTATTACAGAAATAAAGGTGACTAATATTGATAGTAACAATTTATAACAAAATTGTTGAATAGGTACTTAAAGAGAGACTAAATAAAATAAGCTGACTTGGTTTTGCATAAGATCTCGCAACTTTTTATAGTGGAAAAATTATGTTACGAGATTTATTTACAGGCTATGTTTTTGATGGGATCTCATTTCTTTTTGTAGGTTATCCTCCTATTTTAAGCCGACCATATACCAACAGGCATGGTAGGCTACTAAGATCGGCAAAAAAAGTTTTTTTAATTTCACTCAAAATAAGTTATTTGGGTCATAAATGACTGTCTGTCTGTCCGTCTGTCCGTCTGTAACACGATAACTCAAAAACTGCTAAACCGATTTTAACCAAATTTGGCACAAAAATACTGTGGCACCCGAGAATTTGGCCTTTAGTTTTTGGTGGGGGTGAGGGGTTGGTAAGGGTGTATGGGAGGGGGTTAAAAATTTAAATAAATCGTAACTCCAAAATTACAGTAGCTAGGAAAACGCGGTTTTCAATTTAAGATTAGGAATAATATTTGCAACAAAATTTGTAATAACATCAAAATCGGTCAAAGTCGCAGTTTTTGAGATATTCCGTGTTTCCGTAGTCCGTTTTTGACAAAATCCGTGTGGAGAACTCCAGACTCCCATCGGACGCGACCCCAGGTGGCGGATAGGGGAAATAACCGCGAACCAAAATTGGAAAAATTCCTTTACTTTCAAACTAAAAGAACTGCCTACTAACTTTTTATTAACATATTTTAGTATGGGCAGCTACCAGAACAGTTAACATAATAGGACTGCTCATTCAGCCAAAAGTGTCCGCCAGATGCATGCGAAAACTACTCGCTTTGTGACGTCATTGTAGCCCTTGTCATGGTTATTAGTCCTTATCCGGCAACCAATAATACACACACGTGCATTATTGGTTACCTAATGCAAAACGTTCATTATTTAGTTTATTTATTTAAACACCTTATATGTATGCAGTATAGAAAATTAACTGTATAAATCGTATTAAATACTCGGATAATGCATTTTTAAGAACAGCAGTTCCCAGCATCACCTTTTGAAAGCATTCTTATTAGTGTACTTCCATATTTTGCTTTAAAATAATTAATAAACAAAATCGTGGGCACTTAATATGCACTTTGTCACAATCCACAACACAAAATGAACGTATTTATACACTCTATAGCTCTAATAACTTTAAAGACACCTTTTTCACATTTAAAATTGACAAAATAATTAACTCAAAATTTCTCAGCTGTTATTTTTATAAGTTTACCATAGGCAACTAATAATACACACTATCATGACAAGGCCACGAAGGCTTTGACAAGGACTACAATGACGTCACAACTGTCAGCTGAAGCGCGAGAAGAAGCAAACGTACGTCTTATGAGGATGAGCAATCCTATTAGTTTACCGTTCTTAGGGCGGCTATACATGCCCCGGCACCATTTTTTTTCTCAGGTTATCCACTCACACTTTTTTGAGCCACCCTATAGAAGTTAAAATATTTTCCTAAAATACATCCTAGAACGTACTTTACTTAATTTGCACTTAATCAAAATTACCAAGTTTTTTATTCTAGAAACTAAAAATGCTCGACGCACTATTGCCGAGCCCTGTATATTTTCAACCACGATGCACCACCACCCGATGTATGCACTATTAATGATTATCATTATGTAAATTATCAAATATCTCAAAAGACAATATTATTTTAATTGTATCAAAGTATTTTTGTAGAACAAATATGTTTTTGAAATGGTGTTCAAAATATACGCCGGTTTTCTATTGTTATGCAGTTTTTAAAAATATTTAACAAAAGTTAGAAAGAGTTAAAAACAATATTGAATTTGTTCTTTTGTTTATAAATGATTTAAAAATATTTTTCAATCGACAAATTCAATGAGGATGACATTTACAACCCACTAAAATCAGTTGAGCAAAACGGCTATATTTACCTCGGATCTTTTTTTAACTCCCACATTACCCAGGCTTTGTACGTATTTGAAAAACATAGTAATTTATTTATTTCAAATTTGTTATGCAGAAAAAACTAATATTATTTTATTTATGAAAACAATTGTTTGAAGTGACCACGGGATGATTTAATTTTTTAGAATAGGTTATGTTATTATAAATATTTTATTATCCATACTACTTTAACATAGCGATATTTTTAGAAGTATAATAATAAAAGTATCTAAATTCCCCTAAAAATGCTTAACTATTTTTTGATTATAAATTTTGAATTACAATTTTCATAATAATTCGGGTCACGGTACGCATTTTCTATAAAATTATATATTTAATAGGTCGTTTTATATTTATATAATACATTGTAAAAAATATTAAATTATTTTTTGTTGTAAACAAATTATTTAACTAATTTCAGTCACATCTATCACTTTAAAATCATTTATGCGATACAAATATCGATATTTCCTTAAATAGTCTGTATAATTTTTCCTTAAATTTAAGGTCAAAAATTTGGGTTATAAGTTAAAGAAAGTCAATATGTTCGATCTGCCTAAGTCAATTGATTGTATATTACACAAGGAAAGAAAATTGCTCAAATCTTTGTTATTTTAAATTCAACCCTATGCATATTGTTTAAAAGAATCAAAAGACTAATGAAATAGCTTTTCAACGATACCTATATCATATTCCTATACCTAAACATTCCGGTTTCTTAAGCAGAGCTATTTAAAAATGAATAATTCTACTATCATAGTCTTATTTCAAACATTTTGTTACCATGTCAATTTTAGAAATTTAACAAGTAAAAACAAATTGATCCTTATAAGGTTTGAATATTTGTCATGGTAACGATAAACTTTAAACGAAACGACTATAATAGAAGTCAATTTTTAAATGGCTTTACTGAAGAAACCAGAAGGTCGTATATGATGGATAAGCAATTTTATTTGTTTCGCGTTTTAGAATAATATACATAGGCTTGCGTTTAAAATAACAATGATTTGAGCTATTTTGTAACAAAGGGAAATAAATACTTTTTAATCTTCCTGTTTGATATCCAATAGATTGATTTAGATAGATTTGGCAAATTTCAGCATTAAATATGCGGAATTTTTGATTTAACCAATGCTTACTCAAGATCATGTTTTTGACAATTTTACACGTTTTATTTTTTATCTCGAAAACTGTTAGAGCATGGTATAGGTTAGTATAATTAAAAAATTATGCGATACGAAAATAGTTTCAAAAATGTAATAAATCATCAGGTGTTCCATTTAAAATGACCAAGATGCTATTACTTTTATTATGAAGTGGTGTACACTGTAACACAGAAAAAAAAGTTTAGACAGATAAAGCAGGTGCCTTTAATATAAATTAAATTTAAATTATATTAGTACTAGCTAGTTTAAACTAATCCAATAGTTACACCTAGGAATAAAGATTTAATTTTCAACGAAAAATACCAAACACAACTTTTATATAGTTCAATTTTGAATTTTTAGGAACTCTTTAAACTCTGACCTGTTTTCAATGTAAACTGAAGGTCAAAAATGAGGAAATTAAAACTTTGATAAAATCTATTAACAAAATTATTATGAACCCACGTTTATGTATTTTTAAAGCATATTTTTAAACATTAATACACATTATATTATATTAAAACAGATAATATAATAATCTGAAAATACCTCCAATTAAAAAAATTAAGAAATTTTTATAAATAAGTTTTTTACTTACATTTGTAGGTCGACTTTGGAGAAGTATTTATCCCACCTAACCTAGAAGTACCCAGACCTCGAGTCCTGCCAGAATTCAAACGCATAGCCCACGGCCTTAGGTCTGATAACATCAGCATTTTAGATGCCAAAACGTTCTACATTCCGAACTTGCATTACGACGGCGGCGGTCCAGACGCATATTTTTGGGTTGGAAATGGATCAGACCCTGCATCATTTGGAATTAAGGTTCTTATTTCGCCTTTAAAACATAAAAGTAGAAAGTTATAATATATTCCAATATTATAAAAAAACATGTATTAAAAATAATTTTAAAAGCTAACTTACTAAATGTTAAATAGAACTAGTGGAAATGTATTTAATTTTTTGTTTAATTTTTTATTTAATTTTTTATTTAATTTTTTTATTTAATTTTTTATTTAATTTTTTATTTAATTTTTATTTAATTTTTTATTTAATTTTTTATTTAATTTTTTATTTAACTTTTTATTTAACTTTTTATTTAACTTTTTATTTAACTTTTTATTTAACTTTTTATTTAACTTTTTATTTAAATTTTTATTTAACTTTTTATTTAATTTTTTATTTAATTTTTCATTTAATTTTTTATTAAATTTTATATTTAATTTTTATATAATTTTTATTTATTTATTTTATTTTTATTTTATTTAATTTAACATTTTAAAAATTGTTATGTAGCAAAGAATGTTTGAAACAAACTTGAATGATTAATATGAAACCAACTTAGCTCTAAAAAATGTCTATACCTATGTATAAGGGTATTTCGCCACTATTCAGTGGCGAAATAACCATATATGATTTTTTAGTATCTAGTACAATAAAATAAAAAAACGGCGTCAGCGATGGCTTTGAAATAAAGATTGCTGTTATTTTATATGTAAAATGGTATGTGAAATGTTCGATTGTAATTTCCAAGCCAAATGAATGCCGTGTTTTTTTTTCAATCGTACCATATTTTATAAGGCGTTATAATAGACTGTAATGGAGCATAGCAACAATGTTCCAAAATTATTTCTCTAAGGTGCCCAATGAAATGGGCTCTCTGGAACCGTTAAGGAGCTACCTAGGAGAAGACATAGAGATACAGCTTCCTGGATCACTCACCGTTTACGACATCGACTGGTTGGGTGTGTGGTGTGTACAATGTCGGCAAAATTTTGGACACGTCATGATTCCTAAAGATCTAGATGTGCCACCCGCTTTGGGACAAACTAAGATATCTGTGAGTAATGTCTTAATGCTACTTAAATATTTCCTGATCAAAAAGTCAGTCTATGAAAGTCTTACTTTACGAGCTGCACTATTTTCTTTTAATAATAAGAATTATTCATCCATAAAAAAGAGTTTCTTTAATTCTAAACTTCTGTTATTAAAATAAAAATATGTTCATGCTCAACATTGTTTTTTTCAGCCTCCATGGTGGTATAATCCAGTAAGTACAACAGTTGACTCAACTTCAACAGTAGAAATTTAGATAAGTTAAACTAAACATACTATTATGCTTGTAATTCTTCAATATATTAGTTTTGCATATATTATTTCGGTATTTTCTTTAGCCCTAATTTTTCTTTTATAGCTCCGATTTGAATAAAGCCGATTCAACAAAAAAAATACCCATATATAAATTTTATTTTAAGAAAAAAACTAAGCAAATAAACTAAACAAATAAAAGAAGAAGATATCTATATAACACAAAATTAATATAAGACAAAAGCATAGAACCCATTAAACAGCAACATTTCACCTAGTTACCGATAGTTAGCAAGCAGCTTTATTTTTTACACCCTTTGATTTTGGTCTTGCAAAATTTTTATTTGTATTTTTATTCATTTTTCGTTCGTTTTGTGGTTGTTCATATTCTGTTTTCTCTTTTCTCCACTAAAGACGACCACAACACCCGTTCCCGCACCCACAAATTGCAGAGAATTTTTAGATAAAAGGTTACAAGTGAGGTGGATGATAAAAGATGATCAAGTGGAAATAACGCTATCGGCTAACATACGAGAGGGTCGCTATATGGCTTTTGGATTGTCTGGTGTGCATGGAAAAGCTCACATGGTAAGTTGTTTATTTAGAATATCCTAAAACGTACAATAGTATTACGTCGTTTACTTTAAAATCATTTACTTGTTTACATATGGTCACTTATGCATTGTGTGATCACTTATGCAAATGTAAGACCAAACCAAGACTTCCTTCGTCTACAATACTTCGAAGTATTGTAGCTAAACGATTAGATTTTTACAAATTGTAAGTTTTAGGTTCGTTGAAGGACTATTAGAGCTACAATTTAAAAATATTTTTACAAGATACAGACTGTCCCAAATAAGTAAAAAATATTATAGTTTAATTTTTTTAAACGGAACACCCTGTATATTATTCTATTTCTGGATTCTATGATTGAAATAAAGGTAAATTTGATTAAGGTTTATCACACTTAAACCTTGCCGTTTTTGAAATATTTTCAATTTTGTGAAATTGCAGTAAAAAATTTAAGGCTTCATTTCTCCAAGGGTATCAAAGTTTTTAATACTAAATATTTACTGAAGTTTATTTATTGATCAAATATTGTATTGCAATAATAAAAATAATACTACCTTATACAGAGTGTATAAAAATTTATATTAAATAATTACTAGTTTTAAATGGCAATAACTTGGTTAATTTAAATAGAACACCCTGTATTTTTACCTATCTCTTCAAGTTTTCGTAGAAAATGCATTTTGTTATAATTTAGACCTCATTTATCAATAATCCCATGGGATATTGAAATTTTAGATTTTTTTAAAGAAATAAATGTACAAAATGTACAGGTGCTAAAAACGATAATATTTCAAACCGATTTGTTTACAAAAAGAACCCAAGACTTACAGTGTGGAAAAATCTAATCGTTTAGCTACAATACCCCGTTGACTCCGTGTTGTATGTGGTGAACAACACTGTATTATAGAGAATCAATCAAAGACATAATGAACTAATGTAAAAGTAATAGGATGAAAATTAATAGTATATCTCCGGTAACAAATATTTTCTGAATGAAATTCATTAACTTAATTCTTTTAATTTTACTATAAAACAGCTTATTTTAGAATAATAATAATATTACTGGAATAGTATTATTAATGGAATTTATCTATATTATTGGAATAATTAGTTATCCAATAATAGATAAATTCTAATATTTATATATTCTAATATATTCTAATTCCAATATAGATAAATTCCATTAATTTATTACACAATTTGCCTTTTGCCTTTTTCAAATATGCTAATGAGCCACCCTCCTTTCATTTGAAAAAATTGAGATATGATTAAAAATACAAGATGGGCAGCTTTTAACCGGCCAGGACAAGACACTGAAAACATTAGACAATCAAATCTATTTTTCCAAGGCTCCTAGATTAAGGATTAGTGTTTTTAACATAGCCATGGCACACTAGATTGAAATTTAAAATACGATCTTTTAAGCGAAAACGTCAAAAGTTGACGTATGATATGTCATTTTATTCAGAATATCATTTTCTATCGAATAAAGTAAAAAAAGACCGAGGGTGCCATTTAAAAATCAAAAGTTATTAAAAAAAAAAACAATTGAATACGTCAAACAATCCTAATTTATGTCATATACTAACATACCAAATCTCGTTGTGAGCCACTTTTGAGACGCACCCGGTATATAATTTATAGAGCTAATTGAACGAAATATTTTTTTAGCTCATATTAATTATTGATTTACATGTAGGTAAATACCTACAAGATATAAATTTAAAAACATAAATTAACTATTTTAGGTGGGAGCCGACGTGACCGTGGCGTACTTTGATAAAAATTCAAGGAGCTTCCACGCAGATGATTATTACATATCGAATTTCTCTCAGTGCGATGGAAAGTCCGGAGTGTGTCCTGATGAACGCATCGGAGGTCGAAACGATGTGGTAGTTCTGCATGGAGAAGTAGAAAATGGAATCACCACAATTAAATATTCCAAGTAAGTCAATAGTCCAAACAAATTAGAGGGGTCATTTGGTCACTGCGTTGAAAAGCTAGTTAATGTTTTGACTGGTTCACTTGACGTGAAAAACATACCTAGATTCTAAGTTTGCACGGTTCCTCGAGCGCCGCTGGAACCAGAAAGCCGCAACGTAAATTAAAGAGATTTAAATTCCGAGTCGAATGAGTACCACATTCATTCAATTCAAAGATGAAGAATGGTGATATTTACCTATTTTTATTTCAATTATTAAATGGAGGCCTTAGGCCCATTGTGATACCTTTTTGTATTGTTGTACCAAACCTTCCACTCATTCTTTCTTTGCGTTAAAGCACTGCCAGCCCCTCTTTGCAAAGTTCCAGATGTCGCTGATGTTGGTTTCTGCTGCTTCCTCTAGTTCCTCCAAAAAACCGAGCCCTAAAGTTTAAAAGCGTCGGTATTTCAATGCCGGACAGTGGCACAGCAGGTGCTCTATGGTTTCTTCTTTCTCTCCGCATTCACTGCAGTAGTCGTCGTTGGAAATCTTCCATCTCACGAGGTTACCTCGTTAATAGGTTCTTTTTGTGCTCTAGTAGCAGAGCTGCAACAAGTCGGTTTTAAAAAGACTTAAATCTTGAGTCGTTTCTAAAATCAAAATGCATGCACGGCACCATAATTATAAAAAGGAATAATCTACTATTTCGATTACTAGAATTTTAGAATTAGAATTAGAATGAGTGGGAGGGGGGTTAATCACTTCGACCTTACAGATCCATTGTGTCCCCCTTTCTTGAATCATAACTCATCATACAGTCCCAGGGCTTTGACAAAAGCCAGTATCTGGGACGGTTTTATAGAAGGTAGTTCTCCATCTCCAATATAAGTCGTACCAAAATTCATGGCACGAATGGTTGTCGTCTCGGCGCACTCAGTGATGAGGTGTACTGGTGTTTCCCCATCTTCCCCACAGAATCTGCATTCGCCGTTTCTTCTTAGTTTCAATCTACTGAGGTGTTCATTGAGGAGACAGTGTCCTGTTAAAAACCCCGTGACAATCCGAAGATTGTTCTTACTCAGACCCAGGAGGATCTTTCTTCAGATCATAAGCCCTCAGAAACTTCTTCGAGTGTCTTAGACCATTGCAAGATTTCCATTCCAGGTTGCGGATGGAATCTTCCAAGTTCTTGAGTTCCGCCTTGAGTTGGTTACCACTTGGTCCAGTTAGTGGAGTGTTCGCTCCTTTCCTAGCTAGATTATTTGCTTTTTCATTGCCTTCTATCCCTTGGTGAGCAGGCACCCAGTGTAGGAGGACTTTGTTTTCTTTGCCTAATTTATTCAGCTTCTCTATGCATTCTTTGACCAATTTCGAATTGATTGATACTGAGTTGATCGCCTTTAACGCTGCTTGACTATCAGATAAGATGGCTATTTCTTGTTTCCGATAGTTCCTATCTAAGATAAGTTGTACGCATCTCTCGATAGCGTAGATTTCTGCCTGTAGGATACTAGGGTAAGTGCTCATTGGTTCGGAGTAATTAGCTCTAAGTTATGGTATGGTCTTTTAACTGCTGGGCAAGCGTTTCGCTCTTCCAATCCTTCTTATTGCTCAATACTACATTGACATGTTTGTCAAAGTTGTACGTTCTTGGCATATCGTCCACTGGGAGTTGCAGGAGTGGTATTTCCTTTTTGATTTCGATTACTAAGTAAATCTAATAAACGGTGCACTTAAGAATAAAGTTTTTTGATTACGATAGAATATCATATCGTGCAATTGCCAAGTCATTATAATTATTATAGAAATAAAAATGACTAATATTGATTCTAACAATTTATATCAAAATTGTTGAATAGGTGCTTAAAGAGAGACTAAATAAAATAAACTGACTTGGTTTTACATGAGATCTCACAAATTTTTATAGCGGAGGAATTGTGTTGCTAGACTTGGCATTTTTTTACATTCTATGTTTTTGACGGGATAATATTTTCTATTCAAATTTTAGGCCTCTTCACACCAATGAAGCCATCAACGACAGAGCCATTCCCGAGGACGAACCTGTGAGCGTGATAGCCGCCTTCGGCCCGTTGAATTCCCGTATGGAAGCCAGCGGCCATTCTGCTAAAGACAAAACCGTCGTGGATCAGCAGATTAATTTTGGGGATTTGTACGATAATCAGTGCACCCTTAGGCCGGACCAAATCCCGGCAGCCGATGGCATCGTTCCGTGGCCAGCCGCAAAAATAATCGGTAATAGAGTTTGATTAAATTTAAACAAGGTTAGGAAAGAGAGGAGATTATAATTTGAAGAAAATACAATACACATAACAAATATCGCACAAGTATTTCTTAAAACATATTGAAACCGACTTTTCTATTTATTTTTGCTATGATATTTTCAGGTGAGACAGTATTTCATGTTAAAATAGGACCTACTGGAGGTGCAAGAGGATACTCGAAGATCACTGGTTTAAGTTCATGGGGAATATGTTACTATATCAATGATAAGCTGATACCTGAACTTACAGTAGAACGAGGTCAAACGTACATATTTGTGGTAGAAACTGGAGAATATAACACAAATCCAGCTAGGTAAGTCCATTAGCGTAACTAGTGTGACAAAACTTTCCAGATTTGTCCGTTAACATGGTAGTGTGGCCTTTATATAATTATAATTAAAATAATTTATTGAGCGGTAGGCAGAACTTGGATAATGAGAACACCGACTTTTCAGAGCGTAAATATAGTTTATCTTTTACATATAAAAACAAAATATAACCAGCTAAAAATCGAAATTAAGGCATCGCACTTTTATGGCAAGGGCTCTTTCTAAATTCAGTTATTATAAACTCTATTGCCACTTACCTTATTACGTCAACATCCGTCAGCATTTCATCAACAACAAAAACCTGTCGAATATTTCATTGATCCCCTTGTAGATTTACCTCTTCGGTCTTGGACTCATACTTTGGATTGAACCACTCGACCGGTTATCACAGTGTTCTTTTAAATAACTTAATATTTTAGTGATTAGGCGAAATAAAGAAATAAAATGCCGATTTTTCACAACACCTAACTATATTTAATATAAAGAAATAAATAAATAAAAAAATAAAGAAAAAGATTTAACAACAAAACATTTACAATTAATGAAAAAGAAAGAAATTGAATCAAAAATAATTAATGACAATTAGAGAATTGAAATTAAAACTCAGAGATAATAAAGTTAAAAAAAAAAATACAAAATATTCTTCTTATTAGTCCAATTTAAATTATCAACAATTAGCATACACTTTCAAATCTCTCTTAGAATTATCATTGGCAGAAAATTAATATATTAAAAAAGTATTCACTGAACAATTAAATTTAAATTAGAATTTAATAAAAAGTACAATTGCAAAATAATCACTTATGCAATGACATCTAAAATTTACTAAAGCCTTTAGAACAAACAGAAAGTCTTAAATCATTAATAAAGAAAAATATTAGAGTAAATCCAAAAACAACAATTAAAATACTGTAAGCATGAATAGCTTAGAATTTCCTAACTTGAGAATTTATTTGAGAAAATCTTTAGATAGAGAACTTACTAAAACAATTAAAAAGACCACTGGATAATATAAGATCTACACGGAGTAAATTCGACCGTCTAATTTAAAAGTCAGTACCGAACTAATTTTGAAGATGAAAATACTGATGCTGGTACTATCTCGGACAGGCGTTACTACATCTTCGGCACGCCCCTGTTTGAGGAACCTTCGAATACCCATCAAATGCATATTTCGCACCTTTTAATTGGCCGAAGGGCTGCTTCCCCGAAAGATCCCTAGATTTCTTTCACCCTTGTTTCTGGTCCTTGTCCCGTGAGGGCATCAGCATGTCCTATTTATTAATTAAATGTAATTTTTAAACCCTTCAGTGTAAATCTTACTCTTTTACCAATTTGCTGAATAACATCCATAATCTACCTTAACTAATGCAAATGATACCGAATCATAGGATTACCTTAAAAAAAACCGCCTAGAAATGAAATCTTTATTTCTTCATTCATTTGTCTATTTCTATTTAACTCTAGGAACGGAAAAAAAGATAATCCTATTTCTATCATTTTCAGACATTCATCTCGTGAACATTTGCATTCTGATTTTAAAACATATATTTAATACTTTTAATTTTCAATTTAAAACCTCTAGCGAGGGGATGATTTAATTTTACTTATTTCGTTAAGCATGCCTATGTGCTTTTTCTGCGTTGTTTATTTTGAGATATCCCTAGGGTACACACAACTGGTACCACTCTGTCAAATAGAGTCTTGATAATAAGGGATGAATGTTTGTTCTACCTTACCCTCGTTTATGTGACTTTAAATTATTTAGAAGATTGTATTATTAATTTGCTTAGTTAGTTTCTCAGGATATATGCGTACTTTTAGAGAGTTTATGTGTCTTGAATATCATTAGATTATTTGCTTAGGCCTTTTAAAATTCGTTTGCCTATGTCAACTGATAACTTCGTAAACTGAAATGGTTCCATCTTAGAATAACAAACCAAAAAGATAAAGTTTTACAAAGCTTGATATTATTCTATTACACTAGCAATTCATCCTGGGGGGGGTGTGTGCTAGTGGGAGCCCAGTATTTTTTTATAAATTTTATAAAACATTAACAATAATAACAATAAAAACTAAATACATTTAAATGAAATCTTTACATGAATCTCTCTATCAATAATTTTGATAGACTGCTTTATCAACCCGTGTTCCGATTTACTACTTAAATACCGACAAATTTAAAAAGAAATAAAAGCTAACACACATTTTTTGAACAAAACAAAATAAAAAATAGTATTAACTATAAACAAAACCAGAAATAGTTATTTGTGTAACTAGCTGCAATCATGCTGAATACAACAAATATACAGGGTGGCCCATCGAAAACGTTCCGCAAGGCATAACGGCCAGAGTAATTTTTTTTTTCAGAAAATTCAAAAACACGTCAATTTTGTTTGTGAGGGGGACAACTTTTGCCCCAAAAAAGATTACAAAATCTTCAACCTTCTCTTCAGTGAGTATTATCAAAAAAATACAAGAGATAAAAAAGTTTCTAAACAAACTAAACTATCCAATTTAATTTTTTTGCAAGTGTTTGATAAGATTTTTCTTTAAATTTCGTTAACAAGAATGATAGGGGTCGTTTATTTCAACCCCTTCCACTCATTTTAAAAAATAATAAAAAAAAAACAGCAAAATTACCAGAAAGTGTGTTTTCATAACAGTAATGCTTCCATAAAATTTTATTAGTCTATCTCTTTTCGATTTCAAGATAAAAAATAAAAACATTATTTTTCCGCCATCTTTGTACCGCAATATCTCCCTAATGGTTGACTTTTGACCCAACGTTTATGAAGCAAACTACCCTTTATTTTGAACAAGGAATCACCCCCTGAAGTTTTTCGCATTTGTTTTGAAACACCCTGTATATATGCCAGAAGGCCTAGTCTTGGAGCTTACGCGATGTTATTAAAAAAAAATAAGAAACGAAGACCCAAAGCATTTAAACAATTTTCTGCGAATGTCAGAAGTCGATTTTACTTTTTCTTTTTATAATGTTGTTTCACTCCTGGTTTGCTTGGGTACGAATATTATGTAGCTTCCGCTGAATCTCAGCCTCAGTTGTGTTGAATTTGTCAGCTAAAAATTTTATTGCTTTTTGCTTTTCCGATTTTTTTGCCACAATTCCGGAAATTCTTCAAATGAATTAATCACAGTGATGGTATCTTCTTTCGACCAAATACATCTACTTTAATATCGTTATTTAACACGCCTTCGAAGATCACTTGCACCAAAAACTTTCAACAAGACGGAAATAAATTTTAACTTGCCAGAGCACTCTCCCAACCTGTTTACACTTGCAAGCGTCTTTCGCCGTAACCACTTCCCCGCCAGTTTTGTGACTTGCTGGGAGAGTACTTTCGGATACTGTTTACATTATGCAAGTTTGGTAGAAGTGCTCTCAGACATATACTTGTGATAATTTACTTGCCCGTGTAAGAATGAGTGGGAGGGGGGTTAATCACTTCGACCTTACAGATCCATTGTGTCCCCCTTTCTTGAATCATAACTCATCATACAGTCCCAGGGCTTTGACAAAAGCCAGTATCTGGGACGGTTTTATAGAGGGTAGTTCTCCATCTCCAATATCAGTCGTACCAAAATTCATGGCACGAATGGTTGTCGTCTCGGCGCACTCAGTGATGAGGTGTACTGGTGTTTCCCCATCTTCCCCACAGAATCTGCATTCGCCGTTTCTTCTTAGTTTCAATCTACTGAGGTGTTCATTGAGGAGACAGTGTCCTGTTAAAAACCCAGTGACAATCCGAAGATTGTTCTTACTCAGACCCAGGAAGATCTGTTATTTTTCTTGATCATAAGCCCTCAGAAACTTCTTCGAGTGTCTTAGACCTTTGCAAGATTCTCATTCCAGGTTGCGGATGGAATCTTCCAAGTTCTTGAGTTCCGCCTTGAGTTGGTTACCACTTGGAAAGCAGAACGGTTCTGGTCCAGTTAGTGGAGTGTTCGCTCCTTTCCTAGCTAGATTATTTGCTTTTTCATTGCCTTCTATCCCTTGGTGAGCAGGCACCCAGTGTAGGACTTTGTTTTCTTTGCCTAATTTATTCAGCTTCTCTATGCATTCTTTGACCAATTTCGAATTGATTGATACTGAGTTGATCGCCTTTAACGCTGCTTGACTATCAGATAAGATGGCTATTTCTTGTTTCCGATAGTTCCTATCTAAGATAAGTTGTACGCATCTCTCGATAGCGTAGATTTCTGCCTGTAGGGTAAGTGCCCATTGGTTCGGAGTAATTAGCTCTCGGCCCAAACACTCCGATCCCTGTTCCCGTATTGGTTTTGGAAGCATCAGTATACCAAGTTATGGTATGGTCTTTTAACTGCTGGGCAAGCGTTTCGCTCTTCCAATCCTTCTTATTGCTCAATACTACATTGACATGTTTGTCAAAGTAGTACGTTCTTGGCATATCTTCCACTGGGAGTTGCAGGAGTGGTATTTCCTTTTTGAGGGTGTTCCAAGCCCCTGATCTGCCAATTCTCCCAGTACTAATTCCGTTAGTGACCATTCTAATCATTGTCGCATTGGCATATCTACCAATGACAAAATGTGCAGTAGTGTTAGATCTAGAATGACCTCCATTGCTGCTGTTGGACAGGTTCTCATGGCTCCTGTGATGCAAACACATGCTAGTCTCTGGACTTTGCATAGGTTTAGCCTTGCCGTCCGTTGCCCTAGTTTTGTGTACCAGGCAACTGCTCCATAAGTAATCATGGGTCTTACTATCATGGTATACATCCAGCGCAAAATGTTAGGGGAGCAGCCCCATGTAAACTACGCTTTGTTATGATTTAGCCTATAAGTAATCATTTACAGATATCACCCGTTATACATCACCAATTCGAAGGAGGGCGCTTATGGTCAACTTACTGGAGAGAGCAGACGCAACCAAGAGATATACGCCGGGGTTGATCTAGATTCTGAGGGTCGTCCTCGACCAACAGCTGTAGGCAGGTACTGCGAATGGGCACACAAAAGTATCGACAAGTCAATGGAATCAGAAACCTTCGAAGACTATCTACGCACTCTTCGAGTGGAGTGTGACGAAGGCGAGCCGGCGTACTTGAACTGGACGGTGCCTATGGATGCACCGGATTTGTTATACTACCAGGTAAAAAATAAAATAATTAACTAAAAAGAATAAATTAATAACTAATTTATAACTGAGAGAAGTTCGTTATGTAAAAATATGTTGGCTCCTTTCAAAAAACGCTAACCGATATTTTTAAAGCGGGTTGGCTTACTTACTTACTGCCATTATTCCATAGATAAATTAAACAAGTTTAGATTGGAAAGTGCCCATAAGGACAATGTAAACACTATTTGGCGCTATTCTTGCAACGGTCGCGATCCAAAACTTTTGAAAATTTCGGAGCGGTTCGGCTTTTTCCGGAATTATATCGCCAAATATTGGTTATTCAAATTTATGATTATTTTCGTTTAATTTTATAAATAAAATACAGTGTGTTGCATACAAGAAACTTTATTTTATATAAGGACGCATATATGAAATACCTATGAAACATTGGAAACCGACGTTATGCCACGATCCACAATGGTTTTTGCAGTTCACAGTTCACAGCACAGCTTTTTAAGTTTTTAATGCCACTTTTTCACAATTATTACCGCTTGGAGTAAATAAAACTTGAATTAAACTCACAAGATAGCAATAATTACTTTGAAAATGGACGCTATAAACACTTTTCGGAATTTATTTAATGAAAGCGGTTTAGATTTTGAAAGATTATTATGATTTTTGAAGATTCTGACTTTGACAATAGAAAATTATTTCTGTTTTTGTTTGCCGTTGTTTTTAGCGACCATAAAATAATTAACTAGAAAGAAGTGTCAACTCTGTGTTAAATCGTGGAAACACGATACGCCACCGAAAGCCTTCGTTGTCGTCTGGAGAACTAATTTTCCAATTGACAGGTTGACATGATAAGGACATGATGGCTTAATTTTCATTTCCGTTTCTGGTTATTCAATGGCGGGCCCTCTTTCAGTTCAAATGTATTTTGTATTTTTTCTTTTCATAAATAAAACCAAAAAATAATTTATTCACATATATTTATTTGAAATATGGAAGAACGTGACTAAATAAATATAAAAATGTAGAGGATTGTATTGTTTCAATACCAATTAGTTAATTATATGCACTTTTAACGTAAATTAGTTAAGGTATAAGCATGACTTACAGTAATTTGTAAATAAACACACGTATTCGCAGACTTCAAGGACAGAAAACGGACACAGGAACATGAAAACGGGAGCCTTATACAAAACCCTGAAAACAGAAAAACAAATTTTTTCATACTAAAATTAACAATGTAAAAATATCAATAGGTATAAAATATAAATATACTGTTTAAAAAAAGCGTCCATTATTCCCAAAGAGACCTGGCTTATAAATCAAAAAGAAGCAAAAAGAGACTTTTAGTCGGATAACATAATCAGATTATCAGTCCGATTTATTGCATTATTGACAATAAATCGCACATACTGAAGATAACTAATGTTGGCTATAGTTAAAAATGATCTTACCTTGTTGTAAATTGTTTCCATTTTCAAAAAAATCGCCGATCAAAGAGATTGTAACACCATTTTCTTGCATCTAAAAAATGTAAAAACAGTGTTTATTTACTACCTATTTTTCATATACCTACATGGGACATACCTACTACTGCAGAAACGTCATTTTCTCCAGGATTCTTCATGTAATATATATTTTATATACTTTATTACCTTTATATTTATAAATTTCAGCCGAAATATTAAAATGAACTTCCAAAACGAAACTAAACGGAATGAATTAAAATGGCGTCGAATATTTTCTAATTTGTTATTTGTTCTAGAACATGAAATCTGTCAATTCTAAACTTTGAAGTTAGACAATAGTTAGACAAAAACAATACTGTCCTTGTCTAGGCGGCCATACTTGTCGTGAGGAGAATGACAGGAATGACACTAATGACTGTTTCCAATTTTCCTATTTCACTGTCACCCCCCTGTTAGCGACCGCTATAGCAGCGCCAGATCGCGTATAACGGTCGCGACCCAAAATAATTTCGCGACCTAAAATTTTTACGGGCTTTCCAATCTAAACTTGTTGCATTTATCTATGCATTACTCGCTGACGAGTATTTGACACGCATCAAAAGATGGTTATGCAAGATGTTTTCTTTCATGAGCTTTTCTGAGACTGAAAAGCCCCGATACATGATGTTCCACTCTTCCGCACTCCGCACATTCAAAAATCTCGTTGCTTTGTTGCGTCTTTACTTTTTGGTTGTCGCTGTTAACTGAGTTTACAACTCTTCTCCATTGCGTTTGACTGATGCTGCGGGTTGACACAGTCCAAGTGTACAGGGTGGGTCAAATTCGACGCTTTTAAATGGAGACACCCTATTCTATAGGAGATAGACAAAAACTAATATCGGTGTCTGGAGCTCAATTTTTGTCAGAAACATGATGGTGAAAACCGCATATCGATATCTGTTACCGTTTTGGAGTTACGGGGTGTTTTTCAAAAATATGCATTTTTAACAAATCGCTGTAACTTTTTTGCTATGGAAAATTTTGTATTTTTATGAAAACATTTCCAAAGCAACTTTTTACGTAGAATTTAATGGTTTAAGTATAATTTTTTTAAAATTAATAATTTAAGAGTTATCAACAGAATAATTGATTTTTTATTTGGGACACCCCCTATATATTGTTAATTTACTGAAAAGAATTTAAAATTACCTTTCCAAAAATATAGCACACTTGATATTTTGTTATAATCCCCTTCGAAATACAGAATTTTTAAAAGTTTGTCACTTTTAACTAGTAGGCTTTGGACTCCTTATTGATGATATGTCCTTAATGGAACTCGAAAACATATTTTTCCAGCAAGACGACGCACCGCCTCTAAACGTTGAAGTTATCAGGAAATTTTTGCAGCCAATTTCAAGAATAATTGAATAGCTAACCAAGAGCCCAGCCGTTGGCCGTCGAGGCCGCATGACTTAGTGCCCATGAATCTAATCCTATGGATATATTTGCGGAAGAATAAAGGTTCCTTATTCTTCCATATAATATGAACAAGAATTAGAAATACTTAGCAGTTATGAGAGGGTATCTTTCACCCCCACTGAGTTAATGAATTCCGCGAGAATTGTTCAAAAACTGCCCCGTCTGTCCATAACAGAAGATGGTCGATATGTCGAACACCTGTAGCCAAATATCATGTCTTGGTTTGCTATTTATTTTTATTGTTATTAGATATAGTTTAAATGTGTTGATGTTGGTTAAATATATTTTAAATTGTTATAAAATTCTGCATCTCTCATAGCAAATATTATTTCCGTTTTAATTGATGCTCATAGCTAGCTTTTTTTTGCATTACAGCCGGTGCCGTTCAAAGCCTACTTATTTAAAGCAGGCGAATTTTTATATACTCTATATCTCGAAGAGGAATCGAGCACAATATCAAGTGTGTTATATTTTTGGAAAGGTAATTTTAAATTCTTTTCAATAAAGTAAAAATATACAGGGTATCCCATATAAAAAATCAAATTTTCTGTTGATAATTCTTAAATTATTAATTTTAAAAAAATTATACTTATACTATTAAATTCTACGTAAAAAGGTGCTTTGGAAATGTTTTCATAAAAATACACAATTTTCCATAGCAAAGAAGTTACAGCGATTTGCTAATAATGCATATTTTTGAAAAACACCCCGTAACTCCAAAACGGTAACAGATATCGATATGCGGTTTTCACCATCATGTTTCTGACAAAAATTGAGCGCCAGACACCGATATTAGTTTTTGTCTATCTCCTATAGAAAAGGATGTTTCCATTTAAAAGCGTCGAATTTGACCCACCCTGTACTTGGAACAATAGCAATAACTATATTAGTGGTTTTATTTAATATTTTTACGACTTTATGTATAGAAAACAATCACAACTTATTCAATACTCATCTCATTACAACTATGGAGTGTAGAGGTGGGGGAAAATATCTTCGTGCATTAAAAATGATCATAAAAAAGGGACTAAGGACTTAAGATGGCGCTGCTGTAGCAAAAATCCTAAAATTTAAAATATGCGCCAAAAATTTTAAGAACAAGAAATGATTCGAAAGAGATAAATAATAAATCATCGATTTTTATTCGGCAGCAGTAGGCTGGGACTCTAATATATAAAAATAATTATTTTATATTCTAAAAAATAAAAACAAAGCTTTTTTGGGTAATGTTTGGTTATGTTACTATTATCACAGATTAGGTATCCTATAAGTATACAGATCTTGTCCCTAATTCGTGGTACGAAAATTGTTTTTTATGACGATGTGCAAACGAGTCAAATTTCCGGTGCGCAAAAATAAACTCGCGTAAAATAACAATAAACAGCGTAATAGAGAGATATCGCTAAACCGAATAGCGTCCATGGACGTTAATAAGGCCAGGTTTTATTTCCTTTACGTGAGGTGGTATTAACTCTCTTCATTTATAGTTATCGGATCGGAAAGAATTATGATCGCGTCGCGTACGCTATTTAAACTTAACCTAACTTTGAATTTAAAACTTTGAAATTGTTTTGTTTACTAGGTATTTTAAAACTAAAGGGCTAAAGTGCTTATTTCCAGTGCTTTATTGTTCAACGTCTGCCAGTGGGTTTAGGGCAACAAGCAACAAATTCTCTTAGAAGGGCTAAGTCGTCATTTGCTGTAAACCTAAGACTCTTTATAGGTTCTTTAGTATTGGAAGAGATGGAATCCATATTTTGGGCCATATTTATTTAATTAAAACTAATCCCAGCTACTTAAATATCAAATTACCTAATAAAACTAAAGCAATAATTCAAAACAATTCAAACATAACCTAAAATAAAAGATCTCGCCGGCCGGCTCCGGTTGTCAAATACCCGCACATGCCCATTTAAGCAATTTTTAAACGTTATCAGAGGTTATTTAGAAAAAGCGCTTGGTGTAATTGATCGGCAAATTACGTCATTAGCGGGTGTTGCGTTAAAAATTGAGTTGCGCATATCGTAACCATGATAAGGTACACGTAAATACTGGATGACGCTATTCGGTTTTCCGATATCTCTCTAATAAATGTGCCGGTCAGGAGCTGTGCACAATTTTAGAGACCATAAGTGGGCGTGCTATGTGAGCAAACTAGTCACCTAACTAGTGCCCGATTCCGAAAATCGGAACCACGAAAAACAATAAAGAAAAAACAAAAATTATAATCTGTATAATCTGTGCTATTATTCTCTTATCTATGTTTACTTTTCATTTTTAGATTTATGCGTCATTAGCGCCACTGTGATCATTTGGTAAACCCTTATGCTTCCCATTTTTGTGACCACTTTTTTAAATAAAGTCCCATAAGAGATATTTCTCCTCATCTCTACACTCCATAATTACAACTCATCAAATATACAGGGTGGTCCGAACTGTATTCCGGAAACTTCGGCAGCATATTCTGCAAATAAAAATAAGTAAAAAGGTTCGTATAAATGTATGTCCTAAAATATTTAGTTTCGGAGATACAGGGTGTAGAAGTTTCACTTTTTTCTATTTTCTCCAAATAATTTCTTAATTAACGTCAATATTTGGATGAAAATTGGTGACTCGGAGTTTTTTGACATGAAAAAATTTATTTTGATTTTAATATGACTCCTACTTGTAGAGGGCTCCACCTACATATTTTTTAACTCGTTTGAAGAGTAATAACTTTTAGTCTGTAACTGTATAAAACTACTGAGTAAAAAAATATTCATTTAAGACGTTTTTAAGTAAAAAAGGTCTCTTGGCAAAAATTGCTGAGTAATGGTTCTCGAGATATTTTGAATCGAAATTATCAATACCTGTCATCATTAACATAAATTATGCATGTTGACTAAATAGTTATTAGGCTGAAATCATAAATTTGAAATTCGTTCGACAGAAACTTTCAACAGTTTCATCATCATTTTTTCGTTGAAATATTCATGATTAATTTAAAAAACAGTTCCCAAATTTATAATTTCACTCAGATAACTATCTGCTCAACATGTTTTATTTCTATAAATTATAGATATACCGGGTGCGTCTCAAAAGTGGCTCACCCCTATAACTTTTTTATTTTTTCAGTTAAAAAAACGAGATTTGGTATGTTAGTATATGACATAAATTGGCATTGATATGACGTTATTGTTTTCGGTCACTTCCGGTTTCACCGGAAATGACTACAACTTTTGATTTTTAAATGGCACCCTCGGTATTTTTTTTTACTTTATTCGATAGAAAATGACACTCTGAATCGAATAACATGTCATATGTCAACTTTTGACATTTTGGCATATGGTTTATTTGAAATTGTAACATGCGGTTCATAACGACAATTTGACTCAAAATACCAAGTGTTTGGTATCAAATTATTCGTAAAAAATTGCTTTTTCCAAATATGCTAATGAGCCACCCTCGTTCGATTTGAAAAAATTGAGATATGATTAAAAATACGATTTGGGCATCTTTTAACCGGCCAGGACAAGACACTAAAAACATCAGACGATCAAATCTATTTTTCCAAGGCTCCTTGATTCAAAATTAGTGTTTTCACAGCCATGGCAGACTACGTTGAAATTTAAAATAGAATTTGTTTTTGAGTGATTATGTCAAAAACGGACATATGATATGTCATTCGATTCAGAGTGTCATTTTCTATCGAATAAAGTAAAAAAATACGGAGGGTGCCATTTAAAAATCAAAAGTTGTAGTTATTCCCGCCTAAACCGGAAGTGACAGAAAACAATTGAATATGTCAATCAATCCCAATTTATGTCACATACTAACATACCAAATCTCGTTGTTTTATCTGAAAAAATAAAACAGTTATAGGGGTGAGCCACTTTTGGGACGTATATATTCCATTCTAAATATTTTGAGGACGGTTGCTCGTAGCGATTTTTACCAATAGACATTTTTTACGTAAAAAATGACGGAAATGTATATTCTTTCACTCAGTAGTTTTATACAGTTACGGATGAAAAGTTATTACTCTTCAAAACAGTTAAAACACATGTAGGTGGCGCCACCCTACAACTAGGAGTCATATTGACATCAAATTTCCCATGTCAAGAAACTTCCAGACATCAATTTTCGCCCAAATATTGACGTTACTTCACAAATTATTTGGAAAAAAATCGAAATAAAAATGAAACTTCTACACCCTGTATCTCCGAAACTAGGAATTTTAGGATATACATTTACACGAACTTTTTTACTTATTTTTATCTGGAGAATATGCTGCCGAAGTTTCGGGAATACAGTTCGGACCACCCTGTAGAATATGTGGATTTCCCGATACAAAATAATTTATTTTACAGTGTTACGTTCACCTCAACATAGGTTGGAAGATTCACGTGGTGGATCCAGGATACATTTCAGAACAAAATGGTTCAGCAAATATCAGCAAAACATCAACTATTAAAATATCACCGCTGGTTTATATTTTCACGACAATAATATCAACTGAGACAATAATTAGGTCAATATATAAGAGTTTGTAACAATTTAATTTAGCCTCTATTTTGGATATTTTCTGTCTGATAAATTTTACACTATATCATAAAGAACTATAGTTTGTTCTATGGTTTTTTTCCAACAAAGTCAAAAACTGCTCCAGAACAGTTTAGGTACTATACTTTATATGTTCTGTCCCAACTAATGGGACGCCTTTCTCCATAGTTGAAACAAATGTATGGTTAAAACATACTGAAATGTAACTTTTAAAAGTAAGTAATAAAAAAATATATACAGGGTTGCGCCTCTCACACGCCGCGGAAGCTCCAAGGAGAACGGTAGTTTAAATCGAAATAAAATTTTGGCAGCGTATGTTGGTTAACTGAAAGCATTTTATAAAAATATATAGAATTATACAGGGTGTCCCGAAAAAAAGTTACACATCAAAGTTTTTTTTCCTAATGGAACACCCTATATATTAATTGATTTTCGGATTCTAGAAAAAAAATAAAGGTGAGTTTTATTAAAGAAGCATATACCCAAAATCTAAGGATTTTGACATATTTCACATTTTATGAAAATGAAGAGTAAATTTTAAATTTCGATAACAGCTACCTACCTAAATTTTAGTTGACCTTGTATAGCCTGATATTTAATTACAGTAACCATTGTATGTTAAACCAAATTGAAATTTGACACGAAAAATTATACAGGGTAAGACAAAATTAATATGGAACTTTAGTCACTTTTAAAAGCAAGTTACTGCTTTATTTTAAATGGAACACTCAATAATTTTCCGGTGTTCAATGGGGAATTTATATATCTTCAAAATATTATTAAGGTTGCCTACCCCTCAGACAAAGATTTTCCTAGATATTTTATTTTTTATGATTTTGCGTCAGTAGATCCTTATTATTTGAAAAAATCTAGGTGGCTGTGTGATATACCTTTTGTTAATTTAACAAAAATTAAAGATTGGAGAGTAAAATACTTAACGGTAATAAAAAGATACACGTTTAAAACATATTTTAATTATTACAGAATTAAAACTAGGTATAAACCTATAATTATGTGACAAAAATTAGCTAAATGAAATCAAATGCTCAAAATGCTTCCTTTCCTGTTAAATGCATAAAATGATTGTCTTTTCAAAGGGATCTTTTCATTTTAAAAGGCATTATGTGGAGTTCTACCTCGAAAAGCAGCTACAATAATTTCTCTCATGTTGTCGACAATAGTTGGTCGAGTTTTGTAAACACTGTCTTTAACATATCCCCATAAAAAACATACTAGATAAAATCAAAAGCATTTAGGTATTCTATTAATTGGTAAATGCACACTGCATTCACCATCTAATAGAATCATATCAATTCTTTCTGATGTAGGATAAGTTTGCATTTTCGGCAAATTTCTGAAAATTTTTTTGTTTTAACTGACACAAAATGATAACTAGTTGTTAAAGTTGGACCTTTTTATTTGTTTGTCTATGAGTTGGACTAATTAGACAGCTATATTGAAGTAACGTCAGATATATCACAGATTTTATCAAATAATAAAGATCTACCAAATCATGTAAATGAAAATATCTAGGAAAATCTTTGTTTGTGGGGTAGGCAACCTTAATAGTATTTTGAAATACTATATACTAGGTGTTCCATTTAAAATAAAAGAGTAACATGCTTTTAAAGGTGACCAATGTTCAATATTAATTTTGTCTCACCCTGTATAACTTTTTGGATCAAGTTTTAATTTGATTTAAAATACAATAGTTAGTTTAACTACATATTAGGCTATACCGGGTAAATTCCAATTTAGGTAGCTTTTATTGTAATTTAAAAATTGTTCTTTATTTCTAGAAAATGTTAAACATATCAAAAACCTTCAATTTTAGTCACATACTTCCATTATAAAACTGGCCTTTATTTTTCTCCCAGAATCCGAAAATGAATTAATATATAGGGTGTTCCGTTACAAAAAACACAAGTTTGATATGTAACTTTTTTTGGGAAAGCCCTGTAGAACTCCCTATATTTTTAAAAAGTGCTTTGAATTAACCTACATATGCTCACAAAATTTCATTTCAATACAAACTGTCGTTCTCCTTGGAGCCTCTGCGACGTATAAGAGGCGCCACCCTGTATTAATTTCTCGTGTACCGTATGTTGAAGAAAATGTATTCAATAATTTTGTCTAATATGAACATACCCACAGTTATTAATTTATTTCTCTAATACGGTATTTTCTTCAAAAAAAAAAATTAATAAAATTAATTTAAAGAAGCCTTTAGGGATTATTTTCTACTCAATGAGCATTTTACTCTGTAAACTTTATGTTTTTTGTTTCTTTTAATATCGTTACATATCACACAATATTAAAGTATAGTTATGAATTAATTCTAAGGTTTGTAATCTGTCTAATATTTATGTAATATGACGTCAATTTTTTATATTTAAATTTACTCTAGAGGTAACTGTACCGTTAATTTAGGAAGATATCCTGACATTTTGATCTATAATAATAATAATAATATTTAAACTAAACTATTTAGAATATCCAAAACAAATAAAACTTTATGTATTTTCTCGAAGTTTTAAAATACTCGGTATTAATTCGATATATAAATGTGTAATTTTAAAAATATACATATTTTGTTAATATTTTTAGTAACGTAATTTAGGAATGTGTCGCTTTTTCTATTATTGACAATAATATTAAAATTAGATGTACAATAATTATCGTAACTTGACAATAACAATATTAATAATAATAGATTTAACTTGTCAAAATATGAATAGATTAAATACTTTTTTATCTACTATACTACTTACATATGTATTTAAATAAATTTTAATGATATATCAATATTGATTTATATTTAATTTTATTATAAAGTATATTAATGTACTATTTGTCGTAAAATTTAAACAAGTATATTTAAATGGATAATTACTAATAACACTCTTAGTAAAATATATACGGTACGATCGAAATAAACGGCGTCAAGTTGGCTTCAAAATGACGATTAATAACATTCACCGTAAAGATTTACATATAATTTTAACAAGGATTTTCATTTTCAAGCCCACTCTGGCGACGTTTTTTTTTTCGTGGGTATGTTATTTTTTCATCATAATTTTATTTTGAAATAAATATTTTATAATACATAAAAAATAATTTGGAGAAAGTCATGTATAAATGTCTAGATAAGGATAAATGTGATATAAATAAAATGCATCTCATCGTTTCATCATCATTTTAATGCCTAGGCATAAAAGTAAAGCACTATTATCTATCTAGGAAATATATTATTAAACTGACATGAAGTGTCAAATTCAACGAGCGTAACCATAGTTTCTCGATATGTAATTACATACAAGGTTGCAGGAACGTTTAAAATTGTTTGAAAATTATTTATGACGTTTGAAAAAAAAATAGCATGTCCTATTCGGAGTAAAAATTACTTTTTGTGCCTCGGTTGTATGTCAAACGTACAGCCTCGCCACGCAAAGTGTCATTTTTACTTCTAATAAAACAATATACTATTTATTTATATACAGGGTTGTTCACCACATACGACACGGAATATTGTAGCTAAACGATGAGATTTTTTCGGTTCGATGAAGGACTATTAGAGGTACAATTTAAAAATAATTTTACAAGATACAGAGTGTCCCAAATAAGTAAAAAATATCAAAGTTGTATTTTTTTAAATGGAACACCCTGTATATTATTACATTTTTAGTTTCTACGATTAAAATAAAGGTAAATTTGATTACGATTTATTATACTTAAACCTTACCTTTTTTGAAATATTTTCAATTTTGTGAAATTGCAGTAAAAATTTTACGGCTTCATTTCTCCAAGGGTATCAAAGTTTTTAATACTAAATATTTACTGAAGTTTATTTACTGATCAGTTATTGTGTTGCAATAATAAAAATAATACTACCTTATACAGAGTGTCTAAAAATTTATTTTAAATAATTATTAGCTTCAAACGGCAATAACTTGTTTAATTTAAATGGAACACCCTGTATATTTTACGAGAATCAGATGCACAATTTAATTCTCTATCAAATTATATTATACCATTTTTTACCTATCTCTTTAAGTTTCCGTAGAATTATTTATCAATATACCCATGGACTATTGACATTTTAGATTATTTTTAAAGATGTACCAAATTTTTAAAGAGTACAGATACTAATATTGTCGATATAATTCGTTTATTTCATTAAAAAATAAAAAAAAACTGTTTAAATATTTGTTAAAGAGGACCAATTAATATGATTCCAGTATTCAAACTACATTAACTGACTGTTTGCGTTGATTAATAATAATTGCTCCAAATACTAAAAAACTGAATTTTGTATGGGCATTAGACAGTGTGATAAAAAGTAACACCTTAAAAATGATATTTCATTTTTTAATAAATGCTTATTTATAACAACAGAGACTTTAATTTGATAACTTATTATTATATTGATTTCTGACTCAAATCCACATTTATTTATAATAATTTATTAACGAACACAATTAAGTATGTAATTAATTAGTATTTGGGCGGAAATGCTGGTGGTATATTTAATTAATGGTATACTGTTTTATAAAGATTAAAATAGTTTTCTTTTGCATACAAATGGGCTAGTAATATTATCGTTTTACTAAAAACGATAATATTACTAGCCTGTATATTTAGTACATTTGTTGTTTTAAAACAATCTAAAATGTCAATATTCCATGGGTATATTGATAAATGAGGTCTAAATTATAAGAAAATGCATTTTCTACAAAAACTTGAAGGGATAGGTAAAAAGTGGTATAATACAATTTGATAGACAATTAAATCGTGCATCTGATTCTCATAAAATATACAGGGTGTCCCATTTAAATTAAACAAGTTATTGCCGTTTAAAGCTAGTAATTATTTAAAAAAAATTTTTAGACACTCTGTATAGGGTAGTATAATTTTTATTACTGCAACACAATAACTGATCAATAAATAAACTTCAGTAAATATTTACTATTAAAAACTTTGATACCCTCGGAGAAATGAAGCCTTAAAATTTATACTGCAATTTCACAAAATT